CATGATTATTATGCTGTGTGCATTTCAGGGAATAAATGGACTATTTATTATGTCGCATTTATATTATATGGATGTGTTGCCATATAGAACCATGTGAGCTGACTAATAAGTTTAGACTCATTTATACCTTATGCATTCGTTGCTATAGACAGATGTGTGGCTGTCGGGGTATGTGGTTTAATATTATTGGCATGTGTTGCCTAATGGACATGCTCAGTCTATTTAGTAATATTATTGGCATGTGTTGCCTAATTTGTATGCTCAGTATATTCATCAGTATTTTGAGAGGTGTTATCACTGTGTAGTTCGTTATAGTCTGTGTTGTCAGTGTCGTGCACCATGTATAATAGCTGATTTCCCGGGTAGGGAAAGGCGACACTTAACCACCTAGTATGAGTCTAAGTGATCACCGTCTATTCTGGTTGAGGTCATGTTATACATTGGATGGTTCTCTTAGGATGTATACAGATATAGTACTCATCCGGATATAAATGATTAATTTATTTGATTCTCTGATTTGGGTCATAGTAGAGAGGACTTGCTCGTGGGGTTGACCCACCATTGTTGTTATTTCAGGATACGGTCAGTACCCGTTCCAAGGTTGAGGTTAGCAGTTAGGGACCACCATCCGAACTCATCTACTCTTACGATCCAGTTCAGGGTAGAAGTTTTATGTATTACTTCAGTTTCAGTTTTTATTTACTTTTGACGTTGAACTCTTAGGTTTATATTTAGGGATCCTTGATATAGGATTTCCAAGTTGTAATGGAGTACTGTATTTAAATAAAGGATGGATGGATGTTGTATTATTTAATGTTTCTTTCCTGTCTAAATTCTTTTATTTCCATCACTTTGTATTCCATGCTTGTATATTGCCAATTGTTTTTGATATCCCTCGTTTTTCGTGTATAAGCCTGATCAACTTATGCGTGAAAAATGTGGGGGTGTTACACCTACTAGTTCATTATTCTTACTCAGACCTATAAAGAGACTACAGAGAAGGGGGTCCATTTAAGGGAATTCTCAAAGACCTACTCGTTCATTATTTAGTGTGTCCAGTTCTCTTTGTGACCCCAACAAGGTTTATGACTTCGTCTTGGAACTAAAAAAGAGGTTTGGGGTGAATTAGGAGGATTACTTCACCTCAAGATGCAAATTAGATACTGTTGTATGTGTTCTTGTTTATGTAATCTTTTGTGTTCTTAGGATGGTGCACTATTTGGTTAAAATAAAAGGTATAATTAAGTTGTGTCCTTGAGATAATTCCTGTTAAAGAATTTGGAAAAGTCACAGATCTTTATGCAGCTCTTGTAATTTTCATTTTTATTCAGAAAAAAGTGCTAGCTGTTGTAGAAAAAAGGGAAATAAATAAACTTTGGCGTGTTTGCTTGGTTTCAGATGAAGTTTACATTATAACGAGTTAAAAAATGGTCTAATAACTACAATGATTCCTCTTAATAAAAATCAGTTTTAAAAGACAGATTAGGGAAGTGAGATATATATATAACAAAATAAAAAGAGGGCTATAAATTCATTTTATTAAGAGGCGAGTACCCTAGTGGATAAATAAAAATGATTTTGAAGTGAGAGCGTGTGCATATATCAACGTATATATATGTACACACACAATATATAGTAATAAGTTTTGGGTTTGATATGATTAATTAAAATGGTTAATTGGCAGGGGAAGGAGGCACTGGTGGATCACTTTGAGAAGTCAACGTTTCGGTGTTATACGAATGAGTTCCTACTTGTGTGTTTCAGCCCAGCAAGAAATGGTTCTGGTAAGTGGGTGAAACAAAATTTGGTTGGGAAGCAAATATATATATATATATATATATATATATATATATATATATATATATATATTAATTAATTAAGGGTTTAGTTTAGGGTACCATATCATTGGAGTATTTGGAGCAAGCGCCGCAAATAAACACTATAATAGTTCCTATGTGGTTTGTTTAATGACTTCTAAGTATTAATTCATCTTTTCTATTCCTACATCATCTTTATTACTAATTTGATGAGCTTTTCATTTTTTTTTGGTAAAAAAAATTTAGGTGGAGGTTTGATATCTGGGGTTACATTGGCTGCCAAGTTTATCAACCCTGCTATTCGAGTTTTGGTTGCTGAATCAATGGGAGCACCTACTTGCTTGGATTTTGTACTGTGGAAAATGAGGTGGTGTTTTTGAAAAGTGTAGATTGAAACTTAATTGTTAGGAAATTGATTATTTATTTATTTCTTTTTGCAAATGAATTTACTTCATATTTTGGCATATTGATCAATCATGAATTCTTGAATTGTAAAAATATTTTAAGTCTTTTGATATATTTAATGTGGTATTTCAAGATATTTTTTTGGTTATGGTTATTGACATTAACATATAGAATTGAAACTATGAATGTGTTGATATATTTTTGAATTAAATGATAGTTGAAAATTGATGCCAATTGTAGGTTGTGTGAATGATTAGGTAGCATTTAAGGGTAATGTTATATATATATATATATATATATATATATATATATATATTTAATTGATACCCATTGCAAGTTGTGTGAATGATTAGGTAGCATTTAAGGGTAATATTTTATAATTTTTTTTAAAAAAAAAATTATGTTATCTACGGGGAGCTTGAAACCCCCGTAAATATTATTTACGGGTAGTTACAATTTGCCGTAGAAAACATTTCTATGGCAGTTATATTTTGCCGTGGAAAAGTTTTCTACGGCAGTTACAATTCGTAGTGGAAAACGTTTCTACGGCAGTTACAATTCGCCGTAGAAAACGTTTCTACGACAGTTATATTTCCCCGTAAAAAAGTTTTTACGGCAGTTATATTTTGCCGTAAAAAAGTTTTCTACGGTAGTTACAATTCGCCGTAGAAACGTTTGAGTATTTACGGAACCCTCGTACACGAGGGCCTAGAATGCGCCGTGAATACGTTTCTACGGCGTTTTTGGCCCCTCGTAGAAGCCCTTTTTTCTTGTAGTGAACAAAGATGGGTGGGTGGGTGGTGGTGGTTCGCCAGCAACACAAAGACAAATGATGTATAATCAAAGCCTCCAATATACCCATATCTTCCTCTCTTTTCTTTCACTCTGAATATTTTAGATTCTATTTACAGATCTAAAGCAAAAATTCCAAGATTGATCAATCAAACCTCAAATGTATCCATATTGATTGATATGTACAAAATAAAAAATTATTGTCAAAATTAATCAGAATCAAACCATAAAATTAATGCAATATATCATTACATTGATACAATATTGAATATAAATGTATATAGACTAACGAGAAAAAGTTATAGAGGAAGGAAGACTAATTTGTTTTTTATAGGCTTGTTGGCAGTTTGTGGGCAGTTCCATGGGCATACTTATCATTACACAAACATAAGCTATTTTGTTAATTTCCAAAAAAAACATAAGCTACTTTGTTTATCTGGGGTTTGTATTGACATTTTGTAGATTGTACCATGAAGGAATGGTTACGGGAGATATGAGGTATCTGATTGTGGGTTTGGTTTTTACGTGGGTTTGTTTGGCAGTAAATGGTGGTTGTCGGTGGAGTGGTGGTGGCCCTTGTTTTAAAGGTATTAATTTACTATTGTGAAACAAACCTAATTAAGGGATAGTTTGGTCCACTCGTGCATTTTTTTTTTTTTTTTGTTATTCCATAGTTCATAAGGGTAATAAGGTCTTTTAAACTTAGTTTGTGGGCATTTTAGTAACTTCAAATAAATTTTCTGGCAAAAATGATTGAATTTTGTACAAAGGGGAGGTCTTTGCAAAAATTATAAACCTTAAGGGGACACATTGCAAGAAAAAGGCAAATCTCAGGTTTAATTGTAATTAGGCCAAACTTCAAGGGAGGTCATTGTAATTTGTCCAAAAAAATAGCATTTTGAATGAAATGTACCATTGAAGCAGAATTGCTAAAATATGACATTTTGACACTATAACTCTTCTCAAAATATAAATTTGACATACAAAAATGACATTTTACATTAAATATCGTCGTAGTTGCCTTCCTCATGTGAGCGAGCCCCTTCACCATAGTTATTGGGCTCGCTGCAGCGATTGCCTCCTCGCAAGGCCCATACCTTTTGGGGTATCTAACAAGATCCAAAGTTGGGACACTGTCCATTCCAAATCATACTATGTTGGGTCGGTCACCATTGGTGACAGAAGTGCATGTCTTTTATATATTTCCCAAGTTATAAGATGATCCAAATCGATCATTATTGGACACGCAACATTGGATCAGAAATGTGTAAACTTTATTGAACTTTTTTACTGACATGTCCAATAATAATTGGCCAAAACAAATGATCATGAGACCATCTAAAAATTTATCCCTTAGATGATTATTAAGAGTTAGGACTAAGATGTGTTATTTACTGCCCAACACTCAATAATAAGACCAGCCCATTTCAACCCTAGTGGTCTTATAGATAGCTTTACGAAATTGTCAGTTTCCCGTCATTTTGAGTTCGAGTCACTAAGTTTTGTATGACATTGACTAGTCCACTACTCTCTGGATCGCTTTAAAATAGGTACAAAGAGTATTAAAATAGTTTGATCACATAGAATTAATACAGTAATTGAATTTAGACAAAAACTTATATTAGCTATTTGGGTTGAAATTCCGGACAATATATGCATATATATACTCAATATGTGCAATGTTCAAGCAAATTTATAACAATGTTTATTAACAAGGAGTGACCTGGCCAGTTGTTCTCCATCTGACCAATCAAGCTGTTTGGTGCCCAAAATTGGAGTTTCCCTCTTGGGTGAGGACTATATAACCCTGAAGTGCCGAGTTAATGCTAAACTTACTTTTCAAAAAAAAAAAAGTTAATGCTAAACACACTTGGATAGTTGTGGGTACAATTTCAAATATAAATCAACAATTATTTTAAGCATGAATAATGTTGATAAAAGGTTGCTAATGAACAGAATCTAACAATAGGAATGCCAGAAAGTCAATATGAGAATGAGAAAAATCACATTGAAAAATCAAGACTAGTTTATAATGGACAAAGGCATTGAAACAGAACGATTCCATATGGGTAATCCTTGTTTCATCATCCTTTCTTCACACACACACACACACACACACACACACAGAGGTTGCTTATTGCCCATAATTAGCTTGTTCCGTGATGTCTTGAATTAGCAGTGACATATTGAGGTTTGAAGAACCCCCTTCTTCTATTGCCTTGTTTGCCTTCTCTCCAAGATCTCTGGCTCTTTTCCTTCTCTCTTCTCCTTCCTCTCCTCCATCCATCAACATGTCTATAGACTTCTTAACATCATCCTTCTTCACCAACACCCCAACACTTTCCTCCTCACCCCATTTTACGATAACCTCCACACCAACCCTCACTCCAATCTTGAGCACTTGCACAACTAACTTCTCATTACAAAATTGCTCCGCGAACAAAGGCCATGTTACCATTGGCACACCAGCAGACACCCCTTCTAGCGTTGAGTTCCAGCCACAATGTGTTAAGAACCCCCCAATTGCAGGGTGAGATAGTATCAGTACTTGTGGCGCCCAGCCGCGGATCAGAAGGCCTCTTCCCTTGGTTCTTTCCTCGAATTCTTCTTCGCGAATCCATTTCTCCAATGCATCCGATTTATTTCTTATCACCCAAATGAAGGGTTGGTTTGATGCCTCTAAACCCAAACCAACCTCTATCATTTGTGAGGGTAATAGCTGAGATATGCTTCCAAAGGAAGCATAGACTACAGAGTTGGGCTCCCGCGAGTCGAGCCACTTCAAGCACTCCTGTTCATCGACTGAAGCCTTGTTACCTCTTTCAACCTTGTCCAAGTTGTCTTTGTTGCATAGTGAAACAGGGCCTACACACAAAATTTTTTTCCCGCCTTTTGCCTTCTGGTATTCTTTGACGAACTCTGGCTCCAACTCCTCAAAACTATTAACTATTACACCATATGCTGCTTCGTCTGCCTCTCTCATTTTGTCTCGAAAAGGTGAGTTTGTGCTCGCAGAAGATGGTATCTGGGCTTTAGTAAGCTCAATTTGTGTAGGTAGGCCTGGCACCACAAAGTAGTCGGAGTCCGAGGTTAGGTTATCAATAACCTTGTAAGTAACTATATTGTGTGTGCACAAGAGAGAGAAGCAACATGTTCCATGGAAAACAAGCCTTGGGATATGAAACTTGCGAGCAACATCGGTTGTCCATGGGAAAACCATGTCGGAGACTAAGCAGGTTGGGTGTGGTTTTAGTTGTTCCAACAACTGTTCCACCGGTTGTTGTAGCATTCTAGTGGCGGCACGGAAATTGTCAAGCATGACAGGTGAAGGGAGCATATCAATGTTCTCGCATCCTTGTGGCAATCCGGCTTCTACGCATGGAAATTCGATTTCAAGGAGATGGATTTGAAGCCCGGATTGTACAGCACGAGTAATGATTGTTTTGTAACGATTGGCATTAAGGGGTGTGGTGAGTATGGTGACCATTGCGCCGTGCTGTGCCAACAATTTGGCTATGTCTACCATGGGATTCATATGTCCGGGAGCCATTAGAGGTAACAAGATAAAGTGAAGCTGCTGGTGTTGGGAAGCCATGGCAATTAGCTAGCTAGGGAGGGAGGGAGGAATTACAACCGCTAATTGAGGTGGCCTTGTCTTTCTTGGTTTCTCTTCTCTTAGATAGAGATAAGATCATGACGAAGTCGATTTACTTGTGAGTTCAAAAGTTGTAATGCCTTCAACGGAGTTGTTGTAATTTTTGTTCTAAGGTGAGGTGGTGACTGGTGTTGGCCTTGGTGGAGCCGACCAATTTTGGTCTTACTTGATAAGAGTGGTAAAAGGGCATGTCTTAAATTCTAGGTTCGAATCCTTGACTCCTTATGTAAATTCTTGAAGCTACTCCGTCAATGAACTCTGCTCTACAATTTAAAATCATTATTACTGCGATGCTAGCTAAATCCATAGGAGGGCCACAAATGAGCCATCTTACTTGTATACTTCAGCGAACTCGAGAGGGGTGCACCCATTTCAATTCTTGCTGCGTGTGCTATTCGTAAACAGTCTCTCCAGGAATTGGCTCAGTAGCTTTTCTGATTATTATTATTTTTTTCTTTAATTTTTTATTTCTAAACACAATATCAATTTGAGAATAGTGGCATTTCTTAAGTATCAAATTAATTTCTCAAATAGCCTAGAACATTTAGGGGGTGAGTTTATAACCGATCAGTTCACCTGAATGAATTAGGATTAAGTTCGTAATTCAAGTTAATCCCAGACATGGGATATTACATATTTGGGTTTTCGAAGATTCTCGTTTCATTCTCAAAATTAGTAACTCAGTCTGAGCATTCAATTAACAGTTTTTAATGGTTTAAAAGAGAAAAAGAAAATTCATATTTAACCCAACACAAACTGTCAGCATGCTTTTGGCCCACCACTTTGGGTGAAGTGTTGGCCGTCAATAGCACGGCTCAAAAATAAATACTGTAAATAAAATAAAAATAAAAATAAAAATTGCTTCATAATTCATATGATACATACATAATAAATTTTTTTTTTTTTTTTTTTTTTTTGTCCTGACAATGTTAGAGCATCTGGTAGAGGAGTAATTTTTGCCTGTCAGTATTGCTAGGATCGCGTGAGGATAGCAAAAGACTAGCAATACCATCACAGAAAGTGACATACTTGTTGCTAGTCTTAGATAGTGGTGCTACTTCGGTTGAGTAATCCGAGTATAATCTGAGTTAATTTTTTACGAGTTTGGATAATTATTTATCAATTTGGTCCGTCTTTAAGTTAAAAAAATTTCAATCTGAATTTAATTAAGGTTGAACTTGGGTTGAAGTGTTAGCAACCTGAGCCAACCCGAATCCGAATTTTAATATTATTTTTATATATATTTTTACTTTTAAATTCATTATATATAATATTTAAAGTATGATTACTTTTTTTCTTTTCAATTTATTTGGTTAAATTTTAACTTATTATATGTTAACATTTAGTATAATTAACTTTCTAAAAATTTATTTGCAATTTATTAAAAATTTACAAAAAGTATTTAAACTTTTTCTTGTTTAAAAGTAATTTAATCTAAAACTAATTCGAGATCATATCAAATTTTTCGGTGTAATAATTAACTATATGAGTAACTCGAATTAACCCTAAATTTTTATCCAGAATATAAGCCCGAGTTGCAAGCCCGAATTTAAAAGTAGAATTACGGGTGAGGCTTGGGTTGAGTAGTTAATATTGAGGATAGGGTTAGGGTGAGGCTTGGGTTGAGTAGTTAATAGTGAGGGTTGGGCTCAAATTATACATCAAACCCGTCCGAGTTGCAGCCCTAGTTCCACATACAAAAAACCCCTGAAGTTTTAATTTGGAGCAAATAAGTCCCTAAGATGCCTCTCACGTGCAAAAAACACCCCTTGAATTTTAATTTGGTGCAAATGGATCCCTCTGACAAATTTAAACCCTAAGTTGACTAAATTACTCTTACCGAACCATTTTATAAAATATAAAAATAAATAAATAATTTTGTAAAATCACCGAAAAATGACACTATTGGAGGATGCCGGCAATGGACAAGTAAAGATAAAAATAGAAAATAAAAATAAAACTCTAAAAGAAAAGTAAAGAAAAAAATAAAAAATAAAAAACGAAAATAAAGTGCAAACTAAATAAAACAAATATGTTCCAAATTCCGAAAACCAGTGCACACTAATATTGAGATTTTTTTTCTTTTTTTTTCCTTCTTGTTTTACAGTGTTGGTATGAAAAAAAAAAAATTAAAATAAAGAAGAAAAAAAATTAGTAGTAAACAGAAAACTAAAATCTCAAAAAATTCAAATTCTTATTCTACAAATTCTCAAAGTTTAAGAAAAAAAATTAGAGATATATATAGTGAAAAAAGTTTCAAAATATATATATATATATATATATATATATATAAGGTAATGTGCACATAGCCCATAGGGCATTTTCGGAAATGTAAAAAGGCAAAATAGATATTACATTATTAATTTATGTTAGATTTCTGATTGAGGAATACTTTTGCACAATGTGAAAAGACTAGAGCTATTTTTTACCTACTTTTTCAACTAGGGGTACAAGTGCTACGCAGAGTGTACTTTATGAGTGTTTTCTATACTTATCCCTATACTTTTGTGGTGGGTTAAACAACATGACACAGATAAATCAATAAATGCATTGCAAGATAATGGCAACACAAATCAACAACAACATTTTTCAAATTCCTATTTGAAAATCTCAACATAATTGTAATTTTTGTGTGGGCTTTTTTTTTGAAACTGTAGGTAATAATAGAGTCAAGTGCATAAAACACCCCTAAAGTATGCTTACTGTGCATATCACACCCCTCACGTGCAATAAACACCCTTAAAGTTTTAATTTGGTACAAATAGGTCTCTCTGACAAATTTAAACTCTAAGTTAACTAAATTACCGTTACTGAACCATTTTACAAAATATATAAAAATAAATAATTTTGTAAAATGACCGAAAATGATACTATAGGAGGATGCCCTTTTCCTACAAAAAAAAAAAAACTCCTAAAGTTTCAATCTGGTACAAATAGGCCCCTCTGACAAATTTAAACCCTAAGTTAACTAAATTACCCTTACTAAACATTTTATAAATATATAAAAATAAATAATTTTATAAAATGATCGAAAATGATACTATTGGAGGACGCTGGTAATGGACAAGTAAAGATAAAAAAATAAAAATTAAAAATTAAAAAAAAAAAAGTATAAAAGAAAATTAAAGATAAAAATAAAATAAATAAAGTGTAAACTAAAAAAAATAAAAAAATTTCAAACTCCAAAAATCAGCGCACAGTGATATTGGGATTTTTTTATTTATTTAATTGGTAAGAAAAAATAATAATAATAATAAAAATAAAATTAGTAGAAAAGAGTAAACTGGAATTTAAAAAAATTCAAATCCTTATTTTACAAATTTTCAAAGTTTAAAAAAAAAAATGTTTAAAGATATTTTTACAGAAAAAAGTTTTAAAAAAATAAAAAATAAGGTAATGTGTACATAACACCATTATACTTAGTAGCATATATACCCTCTTGGGCATTTTCGGAAGAGTATTAGGGCAAAATGGATATTACAATACTAATTTATGTCAAATAGGACATTTTTGCACAATGTAAAAAGATTATGAGTGTTTTTTGCACACTTTTTCAAATAGGGATAAAAATGCTACGGAGAGTATACTTTAGGGGTGTTTTTTACACTTGTCCCAATAATAATATGGTTTGGGTTGATGACAAAAATGGATATTGAACCAAAATTCCAAAAACCTGTAAACAAAATAATTAATTAATTCTAGAAATATACTCAAAATGGAAAAAGAAAGTAATAATCTTTGACTCGTATTAGATTTTACGTATGGAAAATTTGTCAACATAATTTCAAATGCCAAACATGAAAAACGAGAAGAAAGAATATTGGTAATATTAGAAGAAAACAATATGTAATATATACTTGTTTCATTACTTGATCATTTATTCTTCTTGTAATTCAATTGAAAATTGAAATGCATATCTTAGGTTAAAATTTACAAATTGTAATGTACAAATAAAGAAGATGGTGCCTTTGGCCACAAAATGGAGTATCAAAATTAAGGGTTGGGTTTTTTTTTTTTTTTTTTTTTTTTCATCATTGGAAAGGCACAAAGGCCGAGTCAAAGTGGCAGTACAGAGACAAAAGTCAAGCTAGATAAAGACATACAAATCATGAAATAAAGCAACAAAAATAAAGAACAGGCTCCAGATTTGGTGAGAAAGAGCCACCACTCTAGGACGGAAACCACCAAAGGAGAAGAGCAGTAACTAAAGGGACCAAAGGTCAGGCCATCATCAAAGCAACAGCTCCAAAACTACACCCACAAGGCGCCTCCACACACCTAACCCCGTACAAGATCAAATCAAACCAGGAAAAACAAAAATCGAACCAGATCATAGATCTAGTCGAAGGAAAAACGACAGATCCACCTTGTCAAGCCGGAAACAAACCAAATAAAAGTAGATCTACCTACATAAAATAAAAAAACGACGTAAAAAACCACCTACAGGACGAACTTATTGAGACACGCCGAGATTATTAACCTTTGAGAGACAAGTAAGATCACCTCCCCACTCCCATGGAAGGGAGCAGGGAGCAAATTGGAAGGAAGGAGACGAGCAGCTGAGAGAGAGAGAAAGGGTAGAGATAGAACAGAGGAAAAGTTGTCAAATCTATCAAAACTAGTTTAACTTTAGCTGAAGGAGAGTGGGTTTTAACCAGTTTAATGGGTAGTTTTGTCATTGTGACAATAGGACATTTGACGTGCTGCACTCACTTTCTGTTATTTGTGAATGGAGCCACTATATAATACTCTCTCCGTCCCAATTTAAATATCGCTTATGGGAGAGTAATTTTTAAAGGACATGTGGGACATGTATTGTCTGTCTGAAAAACTCCTATATAGTCCTTTTCAGTTTTGAATATTCAAACTTGAAATTTTAAACTCGAAGGACACATAAAAATATGTAAAATATATTATTTAAAAAAGGGAAGTGGAAACTTATTTTAGAACAGACAAAAAAAAAAAAAAAGTATGACACTTATTTTGAGATGGAAACAGTATCATTTACTCATTTAATAATAATGTCATCCACGAGGGAAGAGAGAACCCAAAACAAGTGAATTATTAATTAATTATTCACCATCTTTCTCAAACAAGCTAGGGTCGCTAAAACAAGTGAATTCATGTTTATATGCACTTGAGTTATAAACGGATATAATTTTACTCCTTAAACAGTGATTTCTATATGAATAAATAAAATAATAATAAAAAGAACAATTTCTATATATTTTTAAAAAAAATAAAAGAAAATGATTAAAAGAGTCCGTCCTTTTTTCACTTCACTACCCCCTCCCTTGGGTTATACGCTTCTTTTGTTTCTTTTTCTCATGTATCCTTTCGTCACACATTCTAATCCAAAGAATCATAAAGTAACACTTAAGGACTACAAATCTGATCGATGCAAGTTAAAAATTGGTCAAATTTGCCGGCCTAACAATAATTTTCCTAATCCAAATCGATGTAAATGACTGACCAGCATGGTGGGTGACAAGCGTTGTTCCAACAATGTCAAAAATGGTTCTATAATAGGGACAAGGTGGGATTGGAACAAAATTAAGTGCATGCATCAAGACAAAGTCAGACGGTAATGTTGACAAAAGAGCTTAAATTTCTGACTTTGTCATGTTACTTCAATTCAATGTCTGGATTGAATACGACTTATAAGAGTGCTGCTTTTACACGCCACTCTTTTATAGTCATCCAAAAATCCAAAAATTGAGACAGAATACCATGGCAATCAGCCAATTTCAATCTTATTGGTCTCTCTTTGGCCAACCAAGTTTGGTATGACATTGCCTACTCCACTTCCTGGATGGCCTTAAAAAGATAAAAGGCAGACTATGAAAAGCTTTTAATCTGGTTCAAGCAGATAATTTATAATTGAATTTTGACAAAAAAAAAAAGGGTTATTTACTATTTGGAATGAAATTCAGGACAATATATGATCCAATATATGAAATGTACAATCAAATTTCTAACAAGGTTTATTAACAAGGGAGTGACCTGACCAGTAGTTCTCCATCTGATCAATTAAGCTGTTCAGTTCACAAAATGGAGTTTCCCTCTTGGGTGAGACTATATAACCTGTAAGTGTCAAGTTAAACACACTCACACTCAGATAGTTGTGGGTACAAGATCAAATACAAATCAACAACAATTGATAAAAGGTTGCCAATGAACAAAATATAACAACAATAGGAATGCAAGAAAGTTGATATAAGAATGAGAAAATTCACATCAAGAAATGGAGACTAGTTTATGATGACAAGGGCATTGAAACAGAGAAATTCCATATGCCGCTAATCCTTATTTTATTATCCTCTCCCTCTCATACACACAAACACAATACACACACACACAGGTTGTTTATTGCCCATAATTTGCTTGTTCCTTGATATCTTGTATTAGCAGTGTGATATTGAGGTTTGAAGAACCCCCTTCTTGTATTGCCTTGTTTGCCTTCTCTCCAAGATCTCTAGCTCTTTTCCTTCTCTCTTCTCCTTCCTCTCCTCCATCCATCAACATATCTATACACTTCTTAACATCATCCTTCTTCACCAACACCCCCCCACTCTCCTCCTCACCCCATTTTACGATAACCTCCACACCAACCCTCACTCCAATCTGCAGCACTTGCACAACTAACTTCTCATTACAAAATTGTTCCGCAAACAAAGGCCATGTTACCATTGGCACACCAGCGCACACCCCTTCTATTGTTGAGTTCCAGCCACAATGCGTCAAGAACCCCCCAATTGCAGGGTGAGATAATATTAGTACTTGTGGTGCCCAACCGCGGATCAGAAGGCCTCTTCCCCTGGTTCTTTCCTCGAATCCTTCTTTGTAAATCCATTTCTCCAATGCATCTAATTTATTTCTCATCACCCAAATGAAAGGTTTGTTTGATGCTTCTAAACCCAACCCAAGCTCTATCATTTGAGACAGTATGAATTGAGATATGCTTCCAAAGGAAGCATAGACCACGGAGTTGGACTCCCGCGAGTCAAGCCACTTCAAGCACTCTTGTTCATCAACAGAAGCCTTGTTGCCTCTCTCAGCCTTGTCCAAGTTGTCTTTGTTGCACAGTGAAACAGGCCCTATACTCCAAAGTTTTTTTCCTTTTGCCTTTTGGTATTCTTTGATGAACTCTGGCTCCAACTCCTCAAAACTATTAACTATTATACCATATGTTTCTTTTTCTGCCTCTCTAATTCTGTCTGAAATTTTTTTCAAGCCAGGTGAGCTTACATTAACAGAAGATGGTAGCTGGGCTTTAGTTAGCTCAATTGGTATTGGCAAGCCAGGCACCACAAAGTACTCCGAGTCCGAGGTCACGTTATCAAGAACCTTGTAAGTAAGTATATTTTGTGAGCACAAAAGAGAAAAGCAACATGTTCCATGAAAAACAAGTCTTGGGATATGAAACTTGTGAGCAACATCAGTTGTCCATGGGAAAGCCATGTCGGAGACTATGCAGGTTGGCTGTGGTTTTAGTTCTTCCAACAATTGTTCCACTGGTTGTTGTAGCATACTAATTGCAACAAAGAAGTTTTCAATCATGCCTAGTGAAGGGAGAGTGTCCATATTCTCGCATCCTTCTGGCAAGCCGGCTTCTACGCAAGGAAATCTGATTTCAAGAAGCTGGATTCGAAGTCCAGAATCTACTGAACGAGTGATGGTTGTTTTGAATCGATTGGCATTGAGGGGTGTGGTGAGTATGGTGACCATAACGCCGTGCTGTGCCAACAACCTAGCAATGTCTATCATGGGAATCATGTGTCCTGGAGCCATTAGAGGGAACAAGATAAAGTGAAGCTGGTGTTGGGAAGCCATGGCAATTAGTTAGCTAGGGAGGGAGGAATCACAAAAGCACAGAGGGGGTGGCCTTACCATTCGCTATCTTTCTTGGTTTATATAAGATGATGCTTCCACAACTTCCAGTGCCAGGTGGCGTAAGGACTTGCACCTATATATTATCTGCTTTGTTAGGCCTAGATCTCAGCTGCATTTACTGATTAGTGATTACTAATCATAGCCATGATGCTAGCTAATCAACAAGAGGGGGACAAATCAGCCATCTTACTTTAATTCAGCGTAACTAAGAGGATGCACCCATTTCAATTCCTGCTGGTTGCGATGACAGTCTCTCTAATTTCTACTAATTGACTCTAGGGATATCAATTAAGCCCACCCATCCCGTCCCGTCCCAAAAAATATTCTTTTTATTAGCTATAAGTTTTCTTTTCTGATAAGTTTAAATTTAAAGAATTTTTTATTATTATGATTGTTTTGATTTGTTTTATACTGAGATTTCTTCACAAAATTTATCCTAAATTTACTGAAATTGTTTTTTCTTAATATATATGTATATCAAGGTGCCCCCCGACCTGAGCCTTTTATTGTGGGATGGGTTTGGTATAGGAGGGTTTTGTCCCAAACCCACCTCATTTTTTTTTTTGCATCCGTCGTAGAATTGTTTGGAAACATAGACCCTTAAAGCATCCTAGACCAGAAGGAAGGAGTTAGGGAATGATGATACATCTCTAAATCCCATACACCTTGGGAATTTTGATTTGATTTTGGTAACCAAACTTATTTCCACATCATGGCATAAGGAATGGTTTAAGCCACGATTTTTGAATAACGGGACATTATCTTCAAATAGCAAGTGTAAAAGGATGGGACAATATCTTTTTCTAAGCTCGAGGCCCCAACATAACTTTTCCAGCCAAGAACAAATAAATCAGGCTTAATACACGGTACAGGGACACAAACCCTTTCATACTCAATGCACACAGTTGTAGGAAACAATGTGGTTAGGGATAATATATAGTACTAATCAATATATATATATATATGCACATAGGAACTTATGTCAATAACACTCAAAATATGTGTCTTAATCCAATTCAGGATCTGAAATTGGAATCTTAAGCCATCTGCTTATCCTTACTTTAAATATTGAAACTATAGGACAGACAATCAAATGAAAACAAATAATAGCACTAAAATAATGAGAGTACTGGAAACAAACAAATGTACCATGTGTCACCACATCATTTAGCAATGAAAAGGGAAACAATTACTTTTGTGATTCATTTGGAGTAGTTAGGTTAGACATCCTTGGCCAAAGGAAAATACCTAATCCTGATTCCTGAGTATGGCTCCAAAATCGTTTTGATTGCTTGTTCAAGAACCATGGCCTTTGGCTCCGGAGCTGAATTATTTCCTTGTATCTGAGAAGAACTTACGAATTAATAAGAAGATAGCTTAAAAGGAATGAATCAGAAATTTTCTTCCATGATCAATAATAAAGAAATACCCAACCTACAAATTCCTCCATTTTGTCACAATCGCACTTCTAAATTTAAAAACATGCTGCAATGAATGAAATTTTAAAAATAAAGTTTGTTTCACATTATTTGTATACACAAACATAAATTAATATTCTGGAAGCACAAATTCAACTCTCATATGACCAAATTCACAGAATTTCAATAGTTCCAAATTTTTTATCACTATAGCATTAAAAATCAATGTCAGGGGAGACAGATTACAAACCAGAAAAACATAAACATTTCAATCAACCCAATATCAACCACAACGCTACTAGAAAATCAAGAAGAAAAAAAAATTACTTATAAACCGGCAGTACCATTCATTGACATTTCAAAAAGTTCATAGACCAAGATTTACACCCATCAAAAACCCCCCAAAACCCTAATCCTCAATTTCATAAAGAAACCCTAATTCAAGAACTAGTGAATTTAGTCACCGCCTTAGTCCCCTCAGACACCGCGTGCTTCGCCAGTTCACCGGGCAACACCAATCTCACCGCCGTCTGGATCTCCCTGGAAGTGATGGTGGGCTTTTTGTTGTACCTGGCTAGCCTGGAAGACTCCTGAGCCAATTTCTCGAAGATATCGTTGATGAAGCTGTTCATGATCCCCATGGCCTTGCTCGAAATACCGATATCTGGGTGGACCTGCTTGAGCACCTTGAAGATGTAGATCTTGTAGGTCTCCACGCTCTTCTTCTTCTTAGACTTCTTCTTCTCCGACGACGCCGCCACGTCCTTGGGAAGCTTTTTGCCGGCCTTTGGCTTCTTCTCCGCAACCGGACCCTTCTCGGCCTTCTTCTCTTCGCTGGCTGAGGCAGCCGGTTTCTTCTCCGCTGGTTTCTTCTCTGCCCTAGGCGCCATTGAAGAGAGAGAGAGAGAGAGGGGTTTAGATCTAGACAAGATAGGGATTGAAGGGAAAAAGTATTGGAATTGACTAGTGAAGTTGAGTTTATTATATATAGGTTAGAAAGCGAGAGCTGATTGGTGCGTTTAGGTTGACGCGGATTGACGGTGTATCAGCCGTTCGATTTGAATAGATAAAATGAACGGATGTGATAAGACGGCAGGAGAGGATTATTCGAAAAGTCATTTTGCTGACGCCAACTGGTATTTCTTTGCGAATCAAAATTGAGATTAATCGTTTTTCTGCTGTAACCTGCGATCCAGTTTCGTCCAATATACTTTATTTTTTACCATTAACAGTGGTTATTATACCAAATTCTGTGAAATTTCATGAATTAAAGTGATAAAATTCATAGTTTAAAGTTCTAAAATTCGAAGTACAAACGAGTTTCAATTTTAATTTTAAAGAATGCAGAACATCCAACCTCCAATGTTTCGAGTTATTTTGAAAATGCAACACAAAATGTAACTTTCCTGATTTTGAAATTATAGATATTGTATTCACAAAATAATAGATCATATATTCTTAAAGTAAATATGTTTTGTATTTCAACATATATTTTTTAAAAGTTACACTTGGATATGGTTATCACAACTCAATATAACTTTTAAATGAAACTAAAATTTGGGGCGTTTAATAATCGCATTTAGATGTAAAACATTAAAATTTTCATAACCACAAAGAATCATTCGAAAGCAATCACTGATCGAGGTGCTTACTGTGAATGAGAAATTCAAAAAAGAAATCAAATGCATTCACTATCAGAACTGTCGTACACTTTACAAATCAACTCTCCAGTCAATGGCCAAACAAAAAACTATCTTCCATCCGTCTTCATCAATGGCTATATTTCACCTACTGCTACCATCTCATTCTCATTCTCATTTCAAATGTTCGTTGATCAGAACCATTACCGCCGATAAATAATAATAGATAAATATTTCTCCAAAATGCACAAACATAAAGCCATCGGAAAAATGACCTCACGGCACTCAGCTAGACCCTGCAGAAACACAAAAACAAGCTAATCATCTTGCACAATCATTCGACACTGGGGAACCTTTTTTTGTAGCATAGACGTTCCTTTGAAGGTCATCATTTGCGAAACATCTTTTCTAAAGTTGTCAAGCTGCAGAATAATGGACGAGTATTGATGTCAAGGGCAGTTCAAAACAAAGCAAAACAACACAATACACCACCCGCAAACAAACTAACAAACACGTGTACCTGTTCCGAAGGTATCTTTTCGAAACCAAATTTCTGTGTCCATATAGATTCTGCTTCCTCAGCAGCAGGTAGCACAAAGGTCCTCACATTCAAGAAAGCAAGCAATCTCTCAATGCAGGAGAACAATATCTGGAAGTAACCCTGTGCCGACATTTGAGCTCCATCAAACAAAAATAAAATAAGGTGTGGCGGTGTTGCTCCAAGTGGTAAAGAGCCAGGCCTCAAGTGTCCCCCACCCTATGATCCTAGGTTCGAATCCCCACCCCCTATCCCCACTAACTACCAACTCTCCTTGCGAGGTCAAAAAAAATAAAAATAAAAATAAAATAGCAGCACAATTGAAATAGATGGTAAAGAATAAATTATTAAAGATTAATACAACAGTCTTAAAGAAGAAAGTAGTCTTCATGTCAAAGTCTCAACTTGATACACAATTTTTAGCAAACAATTCAAATCAATCACTAATAATTCATTAATTTTCAGATTATTCACAATTAATATGGACAATAAATTAATGTAACAAGTTACTAGCAATGACCCAGATTCCCAACATGCATTGCTTTTATTCTACTAAATTTGCCATCTCACGCGGGTTTCCAACTAAAATTAACTGAAAAGTTTATCAAAAAGGCTTTTTTGCGGTTAAGAATGAATGGTATTTCATTAACATTGTTACGTATATTACCTGTGGTTAATAAGTTCTAAATATTATAAATAGGTATATTGCAAAAAAAAACTCTGTAACCACCAAGATTTTGCAAGTTCCCCGTAATTGGAAAAAAATAATAATAATAATAAATTGCTTATGCTAAAAATAATAATAAATTGCTTATGCTACAGGCTGACAAGGTTAAGACGATGGTCCAAATCTAATAACAGCCTCTATAAGCAAAATAATGTCCGAAGGCATCTCCATGTTTCCTTCCTAGTATCCCGTGTTGGCAGGACCAATATTGAGCGATGGCCTTTTTCTATTTTAGCTGATTAAGAAGGTTATAGAGATGGGATGTGAGTGTGCATTCCAAAAAGTATATCAATCTCACCTTTCCTTGATTACCATTACTTGTTGCAACTAAAGGGAGTTCTGCAACTTCGCATCCGAAAACTCGGAGGATTGCAGCTGATACAACAGATGAACTGCATGATTAGCAAAAAAAGGTAGGTATTAGAAGCCTTACAGCAAAATGCATATGTTCTTGAAATTTTATTTATTTAACCTCCTCCTGTTATAAAATCTGGACCCTTGAATGTAGTCCAACAGTATCATAAAAACCACTACAAGTACAACAACAAAGCCAAATAACTCATACTTGACTGTTAATACTGCACAATACATCCCTCCATAGTCTTGGCCCCTTAGATTCCTTCTGTGAGAGAGAGAGAGAGAGGTGAAAATTTTAATTTAGACAAGACAGAAGAACAATGGAAATACATGAGAAAGAGAATAAGGGGCGATGGGTAATTATGCATGATATGCGGCGTGTTATGTGATGCTTACCCATAAACCATTGATGGAATAAAATCCTGTCCAGTAGTCAAATCAACTATAGGATCAAAGCATTCCTGAAGCAGAGGCAAGAGACATTATTAAATTAACAATTGCAATGATGGTAACTCCTCTTATGCATTTCAAGTAATCGAAAAATGTAAGATTAATAACAAGCACAAATATTAAACCCATGTGAAGGCTAAAAGTAAAAAAATATTCAAGGGCAATGTTTAGTCCTAGCCAAAGATATAATGTGCTCAACCTTATGTCAGCAAACAATTTGAGTGCGGGAAGAGTAAATGCAGCAACAAGATCATATAAAATCAATCACATATGAAGTGTTCAAACTAGGTATACAAGGGGGAAAAAGTAAAAATAAAAACCCTAGAATCGTAGCCCCTGTTTCCTAAGTTAGCATGTTAGATCTTATCTTATGTCAAATCAAACTTAAATCACATTTACTCACAAAAATAAAAAATAAAAGAATAAAAGAATAATGATAGGAAAGTTTCTGAAATGATATAAATTAAAATTTATTTAATGTTCGAAGCAAACAATAAGTACGATATTTTATTTGCACCAATTGTAAAATAGCAATTGGACCACCAATTATCACTAAAAAAAATAACTAATCCTTGAACAAACGAAGTATCAAGGTGAATATAGCACAATAAGTACTTACATGGAAGATGGCTACAGCCTTTGAAAGCAACAATCTAGTTTCACGAGAAGCAATTTTGCCACTTAGAACCCTCCATCTCACATCAAAGTCGAAGACGGTGCCTGGATCTTTCTCCTCGTGCTTCTTCTTTAGAACATCCAAGAGAGAGTCTGGGAGCTTCTCTTCTCCACGAATTAACAAATTCTGCAGTGCACAAGAGATCCTCTGGCAATCCATGCTGCAGAACCACTTCCCCTTCGGCAATTCCTGTTGCATAAAAGACATCACATTTCGATTCAGAAGGCGACAAATGAATAACAAATACAGGGCAGAGAAGTAACTTTATAAAAAGTAAACAATGTGCAAACTATGAGAAATGTTATATATGTGCACACCTCTAAATCTGCCATTTTATTTTTCTTCAAGCAGCCAACATGATATTCCCTCTCACACTGGACATATAAAGTATATTAATTAGTTAATTAATTATAAAAACAAGGATATGCAAGATTTAGCATATGGCACTCCTCATTCATATCAATTAATAACAGATAAGATATGAACCAAGATGCAGAATTTGAAACAATACCTGATCACAAAGTATAACTGTGAGTTCACCAAATCCAGATTTGCTGAAGTCATAACCTCTATACACAACCAAAAAAAAAAAAAGGATCTGTCAAGTGATGAAGGTAGGGTATAAGTGTAGTATGCACTAATAGTTCATAACAATTGCAAAACAAAAATCATGCAAAGATCCAAACTTCAACTTCAACAAATTTGCCATGCATACAGTGCAAGTATATAATCACCACCTGCACAACACACATGCAATAGCTTCAACTTCTTCTGGGTTTTTGATGATGCGAATGCATCGCTTTGTGATCTGTTCTATAGGATCAACTCCTGAAATACGTCCGGCAGCCACAGCATTGGCATTATGCTCCACAAACTTCTCTCTCAGAAACATATTCTGGCAATACTGACAGTACCATTTACCACGAGGGATGCTGGTAAGGGATGCACATTCTGTATAAGCCAATAAGAATACCCAAAAAACCAACTCAGAAAGAGCACCACCATAGAAACAATTTCGAGTGTGACTACTTCAGTCAACAGAAAAGAAGTCCAAATATCAAGTAAACAAAGGTAATAGAAAGCAAGCATTAATCGCAAGCATAGAGAAGTAGGGTTGTGCTAGATAAACATCACACCCTTACCTTGATCCATTCCAATGAGGTTAGCCACGTGAATTCTCTTTTTCAATTCTTTTTAATCAATACATTACATCTCCTATTAATTTGTTATTTCTATGTTTGGTTTTTAATTCTTCATCCCATCCCATGCTAGAGTTGGTTTTCCATTTTGCCGCTTAACTTATTAGTTATAGGCTGCCTATTATTTTAACTAAAATTAATTTCATTTTGCCACATTTCCAGGCCTACGTTGTACATGTTCATACCACATAAGCCTACTTTCTCTTATTTTATCACTAACAGGTCACAACTCCTAATCTCTCTGTTGATTATAATCATGTCTCTTTTAGTTAAACGTATCAACATTCTCATTTCAATGATATAATATACTGTTCTTATTTTTTTTCAATCTCTAGCATTTTTCTCTGTATGATATAAAATTCCCCTTCTAACTTATTCAATATTCTTTTATTGCATAAGATACCATTAGCTTGTCCATTTTGCCTTTTTTGTTGCAATCTTACTTGTTACATCATCATCTATCTCTCAGTGGTGGTATAAAATTCCCATTCTAACTTATTCAACATTCTTTTATTGCAAAAGATCATCTCTTAGGGTGGTTTTGTATGATCATAAATATCAAAAATGGTTATTTTGAAAAACAAATTGACCTTGAATTGTTATCTTTACATTGTCAATTTCCGTAGCTTTATTTAATATGCACTCTCTATACATTATTTTACTTTTACTAATTTTTAACTCCCTTGACTCCAAAATATTTCTTCAAGTTCTATTTTTGTTGCTTAAGTTTCCTTTAAAAAAATGTTTAACAGCACTCTATCATCAGGCAGCAAACAACATGCACCATGTATTCAGTGACGGAGCCAGAAATTTTATCTTGTGGGGCCAAGCAATGTGCAAGAATGAGTATGCAACGAAAAACCTGAACCAAAATAATATATACAAAAACAAAGATATTGATAAATCATATTTAACTAATACATTAATAATTGTTCAAAAAGCATTGCACAATCACCTCACAAACAATACTATGAAACATAATATTTTGACAAAATCCTACTCTTTTTTTCCTTCAAAGAAAATTTCGATTTTGCATTACGAGCAAGAAAGGGATCCACCCTCTTTTGATTTGGTTCTGCCAATTCAATACAATCAAATACAATCTATGTATCTACCATGTGGAATACTATTCATACAAGAACCAAAATAATAGATACAAAAACTAAAATATTGATAAATAATATGTAACTAATACATTCATAATTGTTCAAAATGCGTAGCACAGTCACCTCACTAACAATACTATTATACATAATATTTTGACAAAATCCTACTCTTTTTTTCCTTCGAAGAAAATTTCGATTTTGCATAACGAGCAAGAAAGGGATCCACCTTCTTTTAAATTGGTTTTGTCGATTAAATACAATCAAATCCAATCAATGCATCTAACATGTGGTATAGTATTCGTATGAGAACCAAAATAATAGATACAAAAACTAAGATATTGATAAATAATATTTAATTAATACATTCATAATTTTTCAAAAAGCATTGCACAATCACCTCACTAACAATACTATTATAAATAATAGTTTGACAAAATCCTACTCTTTTTTTCCTTCAAAGAAATTTCAATTTTGCATAAGGAGCAAGAAAGGGATTACGATTTCTTTCATGTTGGCCTAGGGTCAAAGAGTTGACTAAAAGCTAAAAGACTTGTGAATTTCTTCCTCTTTGCGCTTTTGCCTTGGAGAGAAATCAATAGAGTAAAAGAGAGACCAAGTAGGATAGATTATCTTGCTTTGGATTTTGGGAGAGATATCTATAGACACATTGTAAGACATAATAGTAAATTTAAAATTGAGAAAAGAAACATTAGGAATAAATAAAACATAAAGGTTCTCTTTTTTAAAATAAAAATAAATAAATAAAAAATGAGAGGAGGGCATACTTACAATTACAAAAAAATATAGAGACAAAATTAACATAAAAGAAATATTGAGTAGGGCCAGCCACTTGGCTCTGTCCTTGCACGTAATGTCACCTTATATATCTTTTGTTATTTCATTTAAAACTACTATAAAGAGGTTCAAGCTTTGTGTTGGTCATTGGTGCAAACCATTTAATAAGAAAATCATTAGTTTCTACAGATATAGTTTGTAGTCCCCATGTATGTATGCATATCTTGGATAGCTTTTGATATAATTGACATGATTCCTTTTCTTTTCTTTGTATGGGCCTACCAATTATGTGTTCTCTATACCCACCCCATCATATGCCTTCTCTAAAAGAATTTATATCTTGTGAATCTTCTTTTTTTTATTTCTACATTCATCAATCCATTATCTTATTAAGTAAATGGTCAACATAATGGATCTTCCTACCATAAATCCAAACTAGTTGACCAAATATAGTTGATTTTTTCCTTCTTTTTTATATATCCATTCATCAACTCATTATGTTATCAAGTAAATGGCCATATTTATCAACAAAAAGTTATTGAGTAAATGGCCACTATACTGGATCTTCCTATCATAAATCCAAACTGGTTACAAGATAATGTTGATTTTTTATTTAATCTTTGTCCAATCACCCTTTCCCATAGTTTCCTAGTGTGACTCCGTAATTTCATTCCTCAGTAGTTCCTATAGGTTTGTATATATCCATTATTTTTAATAACCTGGTACTACAATGCTCCATTTAGCTGGCATCACATCGTCCTTCAAAATTTCATTGAATTCGCTTGGTAATCCTGTAACTTTATTATCTAAATTATTAAATGCTTTCTCTATTTCTTAATTTTTAATTTACTGAACATTCATTACTCTAAATCTTCACTAAGATGTTCCTAATTTAATAATCCTAAAAATAATTGGAAAAATTACACTATCTCCCCTCTAGTTTGGAAATGACAAAAACCTCCCTTGTGTACCCAAAAGTTCACTATTGGCCCGAGGTTTATGGTTTTCTAAAATTACAACGCCATTTTTGCCCCTGAAACATATGCAGAGACAATGTTATCTGCGTTGACCCGTATAGAATACAAAACTAACCTCATTTTGACTGATTTGAATTTACTAATACGCCCTTATTTATTTCCTAAGCAAGCGTTGTAGATTTGAATGGAGCGTTCAATAAGCATCATAGAGAGGAAAAGATAGACAGATAGTTGAGAAAAGGTTTTTGATGGTTGGCATCTTTACAGTAGTTATTTCTTTATCATGGGTATATTAGATTCTCTATTTTTGATAGTAATTACATATTGTACATTAAAACTGAGAATTGGTACCATCAGCGCAGGTGGGTGAACTCTCCTCTTCAAAGGGGAGGCAAGCGGTTCAAGCCCCACAAGGAACAGCGTGGTGTGTGAGTGTGTGGTTGTGTTGCTTACCTACCAAAAATGATCTCAGGATAGTAACCATACAGGTAGCACTCGGGAACTCGGCCCAAAGAGGAAAAAAAATGTAGTGCCAGTGTGATCAGATTACCTAGGCAATATGCTAAAGAATGAAGCCACACAAAAACCTGTAGTCATTGTATGAGAAAATCTTTTACAAGATCAATGTTGTGTAAAAACCAAGATTTAAGTTTTTTCTTTTCTTTTTAATAGGCAAAAAACAATATTCAGTCTATTATTTTATGTCTCTAAAAGGATGTGGCATCACTCTGACTGCAATCATTACAATCCAGTTATATTTTTAAGAAGTCCTTTAAGAGACAAGATTTTCTAACCATAACTTATAAAAAATATTTTTTCTTCAGTTTTAACTTTTTTTCTTTAAAAGTAAAAAGAACATGGTACTAAGAACATTGTTAAAGGACAAGGAAAGAAAACAATTAACTAATCAATAAATAAATAAGAAACTCTGTATTTCTAGCTTCAGTGTTTGAAATTTACACAGTAGTGCAATTAGAGTTGCAAGAACTTCTTCCTCTCTCCATAGTTTCTTCTTTATTTTCTTTCCTAAGTCAGCATTGATTTATAACATTACTTAAGTAAGAATTATAAAACTACAGAGAGCAACACCACCAATGAAAAAGCTAAAAAGCAACTGCTAAGGAATATGTTATTCTTCCAAAATAATTTGACATTCACCTATGTGGAAGGCCCTTGGGCATCCATCACAAAGCAAAAGATTTCCACCATCTGCACAGATGATGCATAGATCATCATTGTCCCTGGCAGCTTTCTCACGACCTTTTAATAGAGATATTGCCAACTCATGGAGAGACACCCCATTAGATGTGTAAATGTATCCATAGCTGCAGAAAAACAATTATTTTTATTTTAAAAAAAAAAAGAAAAAAAAGAAAGATAAATACAAAGAAACCAACATAATGACTTGTATTTCAAGGGGAAAAATAAAAAATAAAAAATAAAAAATAAAAAATGAAGAAAAAAAAAAAAGAAAAAGACTCACGGTTTTCTGCGCGAGGCCCAACCTGCATGAGCTTCAAACGTTGAGGCGCTGACCTACACATCAATTGTAATAATAATTACCAACACCTACCAGATATTCATAAACTATGAAGTTCAAGGAGTAAGAAAAGTACCTCAGTACGGCAACAATAACAAAATATTCCAAGGCCCTTTTTATAACCCTGGAGCAATTTCTGCCAATAAGAAAGGTGTCAATTTATATACTTAAATAAATGAAAAGATATAGCATGTATAATAGTTGGCTAATCAACCTGTCCATTGGAATAATAAGCTAATTCAGTTCCATCCGGTAATGCACCTTCTTCAAAAACCAACTTATGCAACCTCAGATCTCTTCATTTACAAGAGGGGAAAATCACAAAACCAACAAATTTTATTTACTTAACAAAAAATTTAAAAATATACATATGCAGCAACTTAAGCAGAAATATGCTCAACAAAATGGATAGATACAAAATACCAACTTTTTTGTTATCTTCCATCGCCTCTTTTTTTGTGAAGAAAAACGTAAAGGGGCACTTTTAGAGGACCTTGGAATCACAACTGATTTTGATGACCTGAATCAACAAGATGGAAACAATTCAAAAGAAATTAACAGAAAAATATGCTGATTATATACAAATATAATCACTTAAATAGAAATTAACCAAAAAGAATACTTTTTTCTAATCTTCCCTAGACTCCCGTTTGCTGACGTAATATGCACTGAAGCACTTCTAGAGGACTTCGAAACCAAAGTTGGTTTCAATAAACTTCAATAACACGGATAAAAGCATATCAGAAGAGGAAAACAGAATTTCCAGCAACAAAATACATTCCACTCAATGCAATCCCAAGAAAATAACTTAACCAAAAAAAAAAAACCCAGAAAGGGCACTGACTTTTTTGTTATCTTCCCCCTACTTTTGTTTTGCGATGAAATACGCTCTGAAGCACTTCCTGGGGACTTCAGAACCCAAGCTGATTTTGAGGACCTGTGATAGTCCAGATGGAAGCATATTAAAAGAAGGGAACACAATAACTAGATCAATTCATTGCAAACAAAGAAAAAGCAATTTCACTTAATGCAAAATAAAATAAATAACTAAATAAACCCAGAAAATACACCAACTTCTTTTCTCTCTTCCCTTTACTCGTATTTTGTGATGAACTACTGACTAAAGCACTTTCAGATGACTTTGAAACCGAAGCTGGTTTCGAAGACCTGAAATAACCATATGCAAGCATAACAAAAAGTGAGAAATAAAATATCTACCTAAATTCTGAACCATTATTGCAACAAAGAATTGGAATCCAACTTAACAGAAAACGAAATTGACCAAAAAAGGCACCAACGTTTTTGGAATTTTCTCTTGACTGTTGTTTTCTGACAACATACCCACTTTAGCTATTCTAGACGATCTCTTTAAGACCAAATCTTGTTTTGATGACCTGAAAATAACCCAGATGAAATCATATAATGGTAGTATAAAATATCCAGAAAAAAAAAAAATTTCTTTAAGTGCAAACTAAGATTCACTCTTGTATCTTAAAAAAATAGAATCATAACCTGGCTATGGTGCTCTTCGGTTGTGATATTATGTTTCTTTAAGGCTTAAAAAGAAAATCCCTTATCAAAGATATAACACTCGAAAGTACAATGGCACAATGCAACAATTTAACCTGGATTAGTCTTTGTTAAAATGTAGCCTTTATAAGGAATATGGAGATGAAGGCAGATCCCTTGTATAAAATAAGACTCAAGAAATGAATAAAAAAGAAGTAAAGAAAAAAATAAAATAAAATAACTCATAGCTAGTTAAAGCTATCCATTCTTTGGGGCCTACTCCGATCTTTTGAGTCATAAATAATTGAAGCTTTCATTTCTTTCCAAACCTTTTCCATGCTAATCTCGAACACCTTCAAAACAAAATATGACGCCATAACATGATTATATCATAGGCTCAACTGTTATAGACTGATACACTAGTTGTAAAATCATACGGATATCAGCTGTCACAGGATTTTAAAATCCAATATCATTCACAATTGTGTTGAAACAGTCATTGTGGCATCTTACATATAATTTATACAATTAAGGCGAGAATGCTTCTTGAATAATTTCCTTTTTATTGTTTTCCCTATTATCTCATTCAAAAATAGTAAGCTATTTTTTAATCAGTCTTATTCTCGTAAAGAACGAAATACCAACATGCAATCAGTTTAGACGAAAAAGAATCACTAATCTATCCATCCTTTTTCTCCTCAAAAAGGGCATGAAGCAGCTAGAATTTATCCATGTATCCTTACAGCATCGCAATCAACCCTGAGAAACTTTCCTTCTATTATGGTTGCAATCAACCTCAATATTCTCATTTGCCACCAACTAAATCCGATCTTTAGACTAAATATTAACTTTAATCGCTCATATACTTTGAATCAAAAATAAAATTTTCTCTTTTTTATTCTTTTAACAAGAGAAACAAAGATGATTACCAGATATGTAATTGGTTTCCCCAAAAATAAATAAATAAAAATAAAGAAAAGAAAAGAAAGAAAATGAAAACGTATTTTTAGAAATAATAAACTATAAGTAGAAAGAAAATGAATTTTAGAAATAATAAACTATAAGTTGAACCAAATGCAAATTTTTTTTTTTTTTTTTTGATAAGTAATTGTTTTTAGTTTTTTGTGTAAACTTATTCCTTTTACCCGCTCCCTATAAGTATCGTAGAGAAGTCCAAAATTTTCCTCTACGCTTTTTAAATTCCTTTGTTCCTTAACAAATCCAAATGCTTTCCAACTTCATCTGTTAAATCCAGCAGATCAAGATTTTGAGATGAAACCTAAGAAGCACGGACACGGATACGGGACACGGATACGACACGACACGGACATGGCGACACGGCAAATCCAAAAAAATTAGGACACGGACACGGATACAGGACACGGATACGACACGACACGGACACGGCGACACGGCAAATCCAAAAAAATTAGAACACGGACACGGCGAATAGTATATATATATATATATATATCAGCATTAATAATTTAAAAAAAAAAAACACTGATATGTTTAGGTTGGAAAATATATATATATATCACTGATATGTTAGTATATATATATATTAGCATCTTTAGGACACGGACACAGCGAATTGTGGCATCTTTAGTATATATATATATATATATACATATATATATATATATATATATATATCAGCATCTTTAGGGTAGTACAAAACAAAAAATAGAACATATCAGCATTAAAAATTTAAAAAAAAAAAAAAATTAACATATCAGCATTAAAAATTAAAAAAAAAAAATTCCAGAAAAGTGTGTCCGAGCCGTGTCTGAGCCGTGTCCGAGCTGTCCGAGCTGTGTCCGTGGCGTGTCCGAGCCGTGTCCGAAAATTAAAAAAAATAAAAAAATTCCAGACACGTTTTTTGGCGTGTCCGACACATGTCGGGGCGTGTCCGACGCGTGTCCGTGTCCGACGCGTGTCGGACACAGATTCTTCGCCCATTTTGGAGTGTCCGTGCTTCCTAGGATGAAACCCTCTTGGTCAACAAATATTCTGGTAACAGAAAGAAACAACCTAAAACACTTTTTTAAGTATAAAACTAATCTTCCTAAATTCAGTCTACAATTCACCCGTCTCTTGCATTACATAAATTGTAATTGTAATTAGCAATTGTCCAACTTCATCTGTTACATCCAGCAGATCAAGGAATAAATTCCATCCATGTGTGCAAGATTTTGATATGAAACCCTCTTGGTCAACAAATATTCTGGAACAGAAAGAACAAACTAAAACACTTTTTTTAAGCATAAAAGTAATCTTCCTAAATTCAGTCTACAATTCACTCGTCTCTTGCATTACGTAAATCTTAAATTGTAATTAACAATTTTAATAAACAGGCATCCATGCATTTCTTGTATCTACACTAGTACAGGCAAAGAAGATATACAGCCAATTGTGAGCAAACACCAACAATTCAAGACAGCAACATAGACTGCATAGTTAATACAGTTTCAAGAATTAACAGTTAAACAAAAAATACCTAGTACTTGGGCCAGCTGTTTGGGTTGGGCCAGATTGCAAGTCCTTCAATTCCAAGCATGAATCGCAAAATTGCCCAAATTTTGAAGCCACCGTTGCAATAAAGGAGCCTAAAAGATCATTAAAACCAACATGCTTTAAACTCACTAGCAGTCAAACATGTTAAAATGAAACTAAGTTGATAAGAGGAAAGCTCACCCTTGCAATTCTGACATATGATAGATTCCCTTACAGGCAATGAACCAATAGCACTCTGAATTGTCTCTTCCAATGTGTCTAGAGGAGAGCTCTTGCAAGCCTTCACCACCTGAAGGAGGTTTTTCCCATTCTCAAGGCATATATACTGTGCCGCACGTCTGTACGATTGACAAGCATGAATCTCAAATTGGCAAGGTGTAACAACCTACATTTATGAGCGTAATAAAGAACTGAAATATTAAACACAACCAAACAACATAGGAAACTGATTAGCAAACTGCGAAAGCACATTGAAATAAGGTATAAGATACTTACCCTGTAACCCTTGCACAAATTACAAGAACACAAAATACCAATTCCTTTAACCACTCCAGTAAGTGCAGTTCCCTATTAAGTAAAATAGCAGTTATTTAGTATCTCACTATAAATGTTTGATTATTAACGATAACAACAAGGGCACCTTTAAATTTACAATGGACACTGAATCGCTCCATTTTCATTTACATAGAATCTGGAAGGAAAATTCCATCATCACAAGAAAGACCATAAAAGAAAATGGTTTTACCCCGAAAACTGGTTGTGAGTTTTAGAATGTCAAATGATCCTGTCTCTTGAACAGGTATACACGTGTATAAAAGTGCTTATGTGTTGCATGCTTTAGTTTTTCTTACATCACTCCAGCCATGGTTTTCACTGCTACAAATCCACCATCCCAAAAAGAACACACATACATATATACATGTGTATATATGAAAGAAATGTAGTAATAAACTCTCACAAAATATCCAACATTCCCTCAAAAATTTGAGAATTGGGCCATAAAGTATACCTTTTTGCCACCATTGTAATAAACTGAATATCCCTCGAGCAAACCAGTCTCAAAAAGCTCCCTAACAGTCGTTGGTTGCTTCGTTAATGTAATCTTCTTTGACATTTTGAGTTCCAACTTCTTGGTTGGAGTCCCCAATGCACTAACTGCACCAGTTTCATTCCCCTCAACTTCCAAAACTGCTTCACTATTACCACTATCCAGTACACCAGTCTCAACGGGCCCCGACACCAAACACTCCACTGCCTCCACATTTGCTTCCAGTGCACCAGTCTCAATGGGAACCGACACCAAACACTCCACTGCCTCCACATTTGCTTCCAGTGCACCACTCTCAATGGGAACCGACACCAAACACTCCACTGCCTCCACATTTGCTTTCAATGCCGACCTTGTAAATCGCCGTGGAGCATTTACAGGCACAACTTTCTTCTTCTTCCTCTTCTGATCAACCACAACTTGTGCAGCCTCACAAGCACTTTCTTTGGGAGCAGGATTTTCAATACCACCCACTAGCTCTTCCATAACTGAAGCCTGTGCCAAATTAACTCCATTGTCGACTTCGCATACTGGTGTTGCCAAATTGCACTCTAGATGATCCCTATTTACAGTTTCGACCACACTCTCATTTACCTCCAACTCCACAGTCGCACTCTTGAACTTTTTATTTCTAGTATACACAGAAATTTCATTACTCTGACTTGTAATTACCTCCTTTTCTTCGTTCTTATAGATCAAACCATTCGTTTCGGACTTTTGTTGAGACCCATTAATAGAACCATTCAAGCCAGACTCGTGCACAGCAAAACCCTTGACTCTTTTACTACTTCTTTTCTCAGAAACTCCGTTCAATGCACTATTAAGAGGCTTCGAAGAGCGAGTCCGACCGAAAGAACCAATAAGCTGAGACTGAGCCTCCAATGCGAAAGCCAATTCACGCTTCATATCTGTATTCGGACCCTGTCAAGACAAAAAGACATGCACTGATCGAGCAACAATGTTGCGAGAATAAGAAATTTAAATTGCAGAAAGAGAGGTGTACCTATTCATGAAGTGGTTTGGGAGAATCACATTAAACCCTAATTTCTCGGGTTGATATAGAGATTTTTATGTGGAGCACATCTGAGATGTGATTCGTTGTCGATGGCCTTGAATCGATCCGTCGAAATCAAAGTAATGGTCCTAAGAAATTGGAATGAGGGAGGTATTAGGGTTTTGGAGAGATTGTTAGAATTAGAAGAGGGACTTCGAGAAGAAGGCGATGGACCAAACTACAAAGGCCACGGTAAAGAAATGGGAACTCAACAGGTTAGAGAGAGAGAGGAAGGGTATTTTTTTTTTTTTTAACCTGGTGGTGTATTGGGATAAGAAAAATGGTAGAATCGTAATTAAGAAGGACAAGTAGAAGTAAAAATCACTTTACCAAAACAACATTAACATGACAATTGAAGAATGATTTCCATTGCGTTAAAATATATACATATATGTATGTATGTGTGTGATTTCCATTGTATCAATAATATATTGTATTTTCAATAACAAGTAATTGTAAATTGACCCAAAATTCAACTCTAGTGGGAAGAACTCCTTTTAAATTTGCTTAGAGCATTAGCACCTGTCTGTTCGAATTTTTGTTCTTTAAAAATATTATTTTAGTTTTTTTTAAGAGTTATGTGAGCAATTTTGGCTCTCTAAAAACAAACACTGTATCAGGTTCTTCGAAAATCTCCAAAAAATTAAAAAAAATCAAAAAATTAACTTTTTCCAAGCGGCTATATATTTTACAGCTATACTTTCCATCTTTTATAATGAAAACTGATTTGCTCATTTGAAAATTATCATTCCATTCATCTATCTCCATTGTTGCAAAATATCATTATTCATCCCCTTCAATTTCAAAATTTTAATGGCTTCGTCATTACAAGTTTTTCTTTTAGCGGACTCTAATTTTTCATCTTCCTTGTCATCCACGTAGGAAAATGACTCTATTGCCACTTTGATTCAACAAGATCAAAACAAATTTCTATAAGATTATGAATTCAATGAGGCCAGAAATAGTTGAGTAAATATTTCAATACATTCATCGTGACCAAGAGGGAAGCCACTATCAGCTAACGAAAAACTACTTCGACGAGAATTACACATATCCACCAAAGTACTTTCATAGACGATTCAAGATGTGACAATAATTTTTTCTTCGTATTCTTAATGATATCAAAGTTTATGATGACCACTTTGTCCAATAAAGGGATATGACGGGTTGTTTGGTGTTGTCTTCTATACAAAAGATGACAAATGTTATTCGTATACTCGCATATGGTTGTGCAACCGATCAAAATCAACGAGAGCACTGCCATTAAATGTTTGAAGGCATTTTTTAATGCTATTACTGTTGTGTTTGGAGAGGAGTACATGCACCCATCCAACAAGGGCGACATAGCACAACTGCTTCAAGAAAATGAGCAGAGAGTATCCCCAGGTATGCTTAGTTCTATCGATTGTATATACTGGGAGTTGAAGAATTGCCGAGTTGAGTGGCATGGCATCATAAGGGACGCTCCAGTAAGCATACTCTCATATTAGAAACAGTTGCCTCACAATATATTGTGGATTTGGCATGCATTCTTTTGAATGTTGGGTTCACACAATGATATAAATATGCTAGATCATTCCCTGATATTCAACGGTATTGTTAGTGGCCAATTGTCTCCGGTTAATTATGTGGTGAATGGACATCACTATAGAATAAAGTATTATATGTTTGATAATATATACCCTAAGTGGGCAACTTTGATGCAGACCATTCCGTGACCCAACCACAAAAAAAGAAAAATTGTTTGCTTAATGACAAGAGGCATAAAGGAAAGATATGGAACGAGCTTTTGGGGTATTGCAGATCAAGTGGGCAATAACGCAATGACCAGTGCGTTATTAAGAGAAAGATGACTTGCACCATATAATGAAGACATGCATCATCCTTCACAACACGATCATTAAAGATGAGCATCACACAAATGTTGGAAGATGGACTCCGCCACCGGATGAGGCAATCCCGATTTCCACTTTAAGTCAATGCACATCAGTTTTAGCAGTAAACATCTTCTCTTGCCAACTTCAGATTCGTAATAGAGAAACAAATATGCGGTTGAAAAATTATTTGATGGAAAATTTATGGAATCGCTATGGTGATGAAGACGTTTAATTTATGTTACATTTTTTTTCCTTTTTAAGATGTTATGGCATTTCATGTATTGGAAATTTTTTTATGGAATGATTTTTTAAGATTAAAAATGATGAAATTGTTTCTCAACAACAATATTTTTCAATCAAACAATAGCTTTACAAATTATTAAAAAAAAAAAAAAAAATTAAACAAAACAATTTAAAATAACTTAAACAATACAATATCCTAAATTGGATTAAGAAAACAAATAGGCTAAGGATTTCAAAATCCTATAGGAACCTTAACGCAGACCACAAATGCATAAATTTCAATATCTCACATTGTCGTGCAATAATCCAAGCTTTCCCAGCTTCTGTTGGTGTCAAACTTGGATCTGTTAACATGATTTATTTCTCTTCGGTTCTTTTTTTCTCCTCAATCTCCATCCGTCTAGCCAACTGTTTCTCTTGAATCTCCAGTTGTCTTGTCTTCTCTTTCTCAGCTTTTCTTACCTCTTGTGCCATTTGGGCATCCTTAAATTTCTCCTAACGAGTCTCATAATGGCATTTGAGATCATTAAAATTGTTAACAAATGAATTTTGTAAATGCAAAATTATTTTTTCCTCAGCGCTAGTATACCGTTTTTCTTCCTGTTGGTCATTATAATTGTTGATATTTTTTACACCAGGTTAATCATTTTCGCCCATGTACGGTGATTCTTCAACCAAAGCTCCATCTGTCATGGTTGCATGACTTAATGGAGTAGATGGAAGTGAGTGCCCAACATACTCATTAATGTTAAAGTCAAATCCATTCCTCCTTTTCACCGCTTGTTTGTCTACGAAATAGGTATTTAGCTGTTATCATATACACGAAAAAATTAATAACAAATTAAAAGCCGAATGTTTAAAATATTTACGAGTTATATTTAAAACAATAAATAAATCACCATATCATCTGTGCTAAAGTTACCAGGGCGATCCATTTCGATGTTAGTCATGCACCAAAAAAATTTACTGATTTTTTATTGGATGGTGGACCAACGACTGGATTTCGCAAATATAACTTTTGAGGATTCGCTCCCATAACTTCTTCTTACTTTGGTATGCCCCTGTAATGGCATTGGAGGTAATAGACATCCACGGCCAACATAAAGCCTCATTTTTTGTTATGGACCAATTTGAATTTCAGATAATCGGTTGTTATGTGGAAGGTTGGAAGTTTCTTGATTGTGGCACACCAATACCATAATATTGATGAGAATGTTAGGATGGTTGATGAGAAGGAAATTGAAATTCTCCTTTATAGTAATTAGAATGTAGTTATAACTGGGAAGACAAATCGATATTATTTTTAGTAAATGGTGAAAACTCATCGTTTGATGAGTTAATTTAGGTTTTGTAATAATCTGAATGTCGATGATCCATGGAATCGGATTAAGTTTGAAAATAATAGCTAAGATTGAGAAAATAAAAAATGAAGTAACTTGAATGGTAGAAAATAAAGATGGGTAGATGTGAGGTGAATGGTAGTAGGAGTTGTGGATTTTATAGAAGATAAATGAATTTTTTTAAAGTTTTTTTTTTTTTAAGTTAAAAAAATTGATTTTTTAAAGTTTGTTATTTAAATTATAGCCATTAAAACACTGTTTGTGTTAGCCAAACAGTGCCTTGATGCCCATAAGTGTAGGTTGTGGCAGAATTTTTAAAAATAAAGCAAAAAAGTTTAAAATATCAAATTTTAAGGAAAAAAATAGGTTTTTTTAATTTATATTTGGCCCAAAATCAATTTTTATTTTTATTTTTTAACAAACAGTGCCTAAACAATATATTTTTTTTTAATGAATTTTATTTTATTTTATTTAAAAAAAACGAGCTCAAAATAACCCATATTTAGTTTTTTTTTTTCCAAAAACTTATTATGCCAAACAATACCTTGAGGCAATGTTCAGGACTGTTGGCTGCCAAAATTTAAAAATGAAAAGTTGTTTGCGCAGAAACGACGTCTTTTTGGCAAAATAATAATAGTAATAATAATCCGCGATCGGGCTCGCACTTTTGCATGAGCTGATCCGCTAGTCGTTGTGAGCCCATCCAATTATTTGGGCCTCCAAATCGCCAAAACCCATTTTTGACTAGGCCGGAGCAGGTGCTCTTATGTAAACAAATAGAAATAAATAAAAAAACATTTTTGTAATAAATTGACTCATCAACTAAAAGTATAAATTCAATTTTGAAGGCATAAATAATTTGATTGCATGATTGTTCATGCTTGTCATCCAATGATGTTATATTTGAATTTTTTTTTTTTTCTTTCTAAATTGGTACTGACACACACTTATCTCTTCTGAGACATGAATCCTGGCCTCCCTTTAAGAAGTAAGAGGCTGATACCGTTAGACTATTGACCCGTTGGTATATTTGAAAATTAATTTAAATATAAAAAAAAACAAAAAAAAAAACGTTAAGGAATGTTAAGAGAATTAAAATCATCCCTTACTTTTAGGTATGAACACCATTACATTTTGAGTTATATTTTAAAAATATAAAAATTTAACAAGTAAACGTCATATATTAGTGAATCCATGCTTATTACTTGACCCATATCTACAATGTGAATGGACCCTCTCTAAGCCTACAAATTCACATGGAGACCCTTATACAATCCACATATTTTTGTTAGAATAAAATTGTGTAAGAAATTATTGTATGGCGAATAGTTTTAGTAAGTGATATTAATTAGGATAATGCTTAGCTACTCAATGATGAATAAGGTGAAGCTACTCATCCCCATGTGGTCCAATAATAAAATAACACATCACATTTAATAATAAAATAATCTACACCTAAGAACACTATATACGTTTATTCAATGGTTGATCCGAGAAAACAAAGAAAGGTGTGCATTATTTTATTTTAAAGGTAATGTGTTATTTTGTTATTGGACCCCATAGAGGCGAGTAGCTTCACCTTACCTACCAGTGAGTAGCTAAACATTGTCCTATTAATTATTAAATTTAAACCTATAAATATTTAAAGAAAATTATTTTTTTATAAATAACATGCAGTATCATCTATTTACAATGAAGAATACTAATTGTGGTTAATATTGTTATATTTATATGTACAATTTGCAGTTATCCATTACATAATGATAATTATTTTAGAAAGATATTTAAGGGTGATATTTAATACTCCCTTTGTCCCAAAAAAAATGTTGTGAGTTACGATTCCCCAAACAGGACATGTAATTTGGAACGGAG